TCGCCGAATGTTGTAGAGCATGAACCTGCAGGATCGGGTCACCGCCTTGATGTTAGCGGAGAACGACAGGGTATTGTCCAGGGTCACGCCAAGGCTCTTCGCACTCTGGGAGGAGGACACAACGGAGTTGTCAACCGTGATGGCGAGATCATGGAACGGGCAGTCCTTCCCCGGGAGGAAGAGCAGCTCCGTCTTGCCAAGGTTCAGCTTGAGGTGGTGATCCGTCATCCATACTGATATGTCTGCCAGACATGCAGAGATGCGATTCGCCACCTGGTTATCAGAAGGGGGAAAGGAGAAGATTAGTTGTGTATCGTCAGCGTAGCAATGATAGGAGAGGCCATGTGAGGATATGACAGAGCCAAGTGACTTGGTGTATAGCGAGAATAGGAGAGGTCCTAGAACTGAGCCCTGGCGGACACCAGTGGTGAGAGCACGTGGTGCGGAGACAGCTTCTCGCCACGCCACTTGGTAGGAGCGACCGGTCAGGTAGGACGCAATCCATGAGTGAGCCGCGCCGGAGATGCCCAGCTCGGAGAGGGTGGAGAGGAGGATCTGATGGTTCACAGTATCAAAGGCAGCAGACAGGTCTAGAAGGACAAGAGCAGAGGAGAGAGAGTTAGCTTTAGCTGTGCGGAGAGCCTCCGTGACACAGAGAAGAGCAGTCTCAGTTGAATGACCAGTCCTGAAACCTGACTGGTTAGGATCAAGAAGGTAATTCTGAGAGAGATAGCAAGAGAGTTGGCTAAAGACGGCACGCTCAATAGTTTTGGAAATAAAAGAAAGAAGGGATACTGGTCTGTAGTTGTTGACATCAGAGGGATCGAGTGTTGGTTTTTTGAGAAGGGGTGCAACTCTTGCTCTCTTGAAGATGGAAGGGACATAGCCAGCGGTCAAGGATGAGTTGATCAGCGAGGTGAGGTAGGGGAGAAGGTCACCGGAGATGGTCTGGAGAAGAGAGGAGGGGATGGGGTCAAGCTGGCAGGTTGTTGGGCGGCCTGCAGTCACAAGTCGCAAGATTTTATACATTTACATTTTAGTCATTTAGCAGACGCTCTTATCCAGAGCGACTTACAGTTAGTGAATACATTTTTTATTTTTATTTTTTTTATACTGGCCCCCCATGGGAATCGAACCCACAACCCTGGCGTTGCAATCGCCATGCTCTATCAACTGAGCTACATCCCTGCCGGCCATTCCCTCCCCTACCCTGGACGACGCTGGGCCAATTGTGCGTCGCCCATGAGTCTCCCGGTCGCGGCCAGCTGCGACAGAGCCTGGATTCGAACCAGGATCTCTAGTGACACAGTTAGCACTGCGATGCAGGGCCTTAGACCACTGCGCCACTCAGGAGCTCGAGAGAGAGGGGAGAAAGAAGTCTGGAGAGAGAGGGGAGAAAGAAGTCAAAACATAGGGTAGGGCAGTGTGAGCAGGACCAGCAGTGTCATTAGATTTAACAAACGAGGATCGGATGACGTCAACCTTCTTTTCAAAGTGGTTGACGAAGTCATCCACAGAGGGGGAGGAGGGGGGGGGGGGGGGGGGGGGGGGGGGGATTCAGCAGGCAGGAGAATGTGGCAAAGAGCTTCCTAGGGTTAGAACCATATGACATTCTCCCAATCCTCTTCTGGATCATCCAAATGCACTCTAGCAAACTTCAGACGGGCCTGGACATGTACTGGCTTAAGCAGGGGGACACGTCTGGCACTGCAGGATTTGAGTCCCTGGCGGCGTAGTGTGTTACTGATGGTAGGCTTTGTTACTTTGGTCCCAGCTCTCTGCAGGTCATTTACTAGGTCCCCCCGTGTGGTTCTGGGATTTTTGCTCACCGTTCTTGTGATCATTTTGACCCCACGGGGTGAGATCTTGCATGGAGCCCCAGATCGAGGGAGATTATCAGTGTTCTTGTATGTCTTCCATTTCCTAATAATTGCTCCCACAGTTGATTTCTTCAAACCAAGCTGCTTACCTATTGCAGATTCAGTCTTCACAGCCTGGTGCAGGTCTACAATTTTGTTTCTGGTGTCATTTGACAGCTCTTTGGTCTTGGCCATAGTGGGGTTTGGAGTGTGACTGTTTGAGGTTGTGGACAGGTGTCTTTTATACTGATAACAAGTTCAAACAGGTGCCATTAATACGGGTAACGAGTGGAGGACAGAGGAGCCTTGTAAAGAAGAAGTTACAGGTCTGTGAGAGCCAGAAATCTTGCTTGTTTGTAGGTGAGCAAATACTTATTTTCCGCCATAATTTGCAAATAAATTCATTAAAAATCCTACAATGTGATTTTCTGGAATTTCTTTTCTCAATTTGTCTGTCATAGTTGACGTGTACCTATGATGAAAATTACAGGCCTCTCTCATCTTTTTAAGTGGGAGAACTTGCACAATTGGTGGCTGACTAAATACTTTTTTTCCCCACTGTACATTCCTCATTGCACTATATTGTTGTAGCCCAGGTATAATAATTGTATTGTCTAAATACGTAGGCCTAATCAATAGTGGAGCTTTGCGTGCCTGAGGACCACAGAGCGCAGCGTGGAGGAATGCACTACAGATCTACCATTTCATAACGTGTTAATTTATTTGACATGTAAATATTTAGCCAACATTCCTATTATTTAGCTAATGAATGGCCTAATATCTACCTAATATTTAGCTTCTTACTTCGGCTACACATCACTAGCCTCTCTTCCAGCTGTTCCCGTTCGCAACAGGCTATAGGCTACGCATGCCTCTCCGCAATGGGCCATTCCTATAGGCTACAAAAGCGATAGGACACTTATTTTTATACTTTTTTATACTAGGCCTAATAGCCTATTAGGGGAAAGAAGCAGGCTTGCTCTTTCTAATTGGTGAATCTAAAACAGGCCTACAGCATAGAAAATGTATGTCGGGGAAAGTTGAGGAGAGAAAATGCATTGGTGTGATCACTTTTAGCCAGTTATGATAACATTGTTGCACTGATGTGTTGCAAATAGTTGCACAGGCCATACACAGATGTCAAAAAGAAGACCCGGGGATTATTGTGTGATAACTCCCTCCTAAGGGCTGTTCCTGGCCCGGGTTCTAATGGTTTATTGCTTAAATAGACAACAGTGGCTTTTTTTGTCTTTCAAACTTATATAATGTTAAGTGGTACAGTATCTATATGAGTGGATGCTGCTGAGGGGAGGACGGCTCATAATAATGGCTTGAATGGAGCGAATGGAATGGCATCAAACACATGGAAACCATGTTTGATGTATTTGATACTGTTGTGGAGAATAACCACTATACTTTATTACAAATAAGGTCTTATAGAGTTTTTGTTGCATCAATAAATGACTTTATTAAAGTTTCAACAAAGCCGATACCAGTCTACAGTGGCACACCGTTCTCTCTCTCTCACGTCACATTATATACCATCATCCCCAACTCTTCTAGCTCTAAATCCCTCCCTCTTCAGTTTCCCGCTCTTTATCACTCCACGCCCACTTCCTTTGTCTCTGAGGGCGGCTAAACTCGACTTTTATTATGCACATAATACTCCAACCAATCACTCACTCCCCTGTCTTGCACACACACTCATGTTTAGTTTAAACATGACAAGGCCCTAACATACACAAACCTCACCCCATCATGCTGTAATCAATCAAGAAGATACCAAGGAGACAAAGGTCTAGCCCAAACTCCATTCAACCCTGGTGCTGCTCCCTTCATGGTGTTTGAAGAGAGAGACAAAAGGCCACAAGCTAGTTTCAGTCTCTCATTGGATAAGACAGCCATGGATTGAAGTACAGTGAGGGGAAAAAGTATTTGATCCCCTGCTGATTTTGTACGTTTTCCCACTGACAAAGACATGATCAGTCTATAATTTTTATGGTAGGTTTATTTGAAGAGTGAGAGACAGAATAACAACAAAAAAATCCAGAAAAACGCATGTCAAAAATGTTATAAATTGATTTGCATTTTAATGAGGGAAAAAAGTATTTGACCCCTCTGCATAACATGACTTAGTACTTGGTGGCAAAACCCTTGTTGGCAATCACAGAGGTCAGACGTTTCTTGTAGTTGGCCACCAGGTTTGCACACATCTCAGGAGGGATTTTGTACCACTCCTCTTTGCAGATCTTCTCCAAGTCATTAAGGTTTCGAGGCTGACGTTTGGCAACTCAAACCTTCAGCTCCCTCCACAGATTTTCTATGGGATTAAGGTCTGGAGACTGGCTAGACCACTCCAGGACCTTAATGTGCTTCTTCTTGAGCCACTCCTTTGTTGCCTTGGCCATGTGTTTTGGGTTATTGTCATACTGGAATACCCATCCACGGCCCATTTTCAATGCCCTGGCTGAGGGAAGGTTCTCACCAAAGATTTGACGGTACATGGCCCCGTCCATCGTCCCTTTGATGCGGTGAAGTTGTCCTGTCCCCATAGCAGAAAAACACTCCCAAAGCATAATGTTTCCACCTCCATGTTTGACGGTGGGGATGGTGTTCTTGAGGTCATAGGCAGCATTCCTCCTCCTCCAAACACGGCGAGTTGAGTTGATGCCAAAGAGCTCAATTTTGGTCTCATCTGACCACAACACTTTCACCCAGTTCTCCTCTGAATCATTCAGATGTTCATTGGCAAACTTCAGATGGCCCTGTAAATGTGCTTTCTTGAGCAGGGGAACCTTGCGGGCGCTGCAGGATTTCAGTCCTTCACCTTTAATGGTTTTAAACAATTTACTGTTGTAGTCGCTCTGGATAAGAGCGTCTGCTAAATGACTAAAATTTAAATGTAAATGTGCCATGATTACCATGTTCCTCTTGGGATATTTTATCTTACTGTTTGTTGTAATAAGCTATTACATAAAGTAATCAAGCAATATATAATATCTCCTTAATTTCCCATAATATCGCTACATGAGATAATTCACTCAAGATCCTTAAATCTGAAATAACAAGGACGGATTAGGCTGTCAGTAAATTTCTCAAAACCACAAAATGCTAAATGCTTAATTCCCCTATTCTCACAGACCATCCTCAGCTGACAGTGAGTTCTGCAGTCATCAGAGAGAGATAATCAGTTCAGCTGAGCTGTGAGGCTCCTCCATATGTCTCTGTGTCTCAGTGTTACTTAAGAGTTCGACAGTATTCATAGATTTTACATACTGTTAGTATGTATGGCTTACCTGTAATGTTTTTAAATGCAATTTTCAAAGAAGCACACTCTGTTCTTCTGATCTCACTGACCCACCTCCTCCCAGGCTGACAGTCAGTTCTACAGTAATCAGAGAAAGAGACTCAGTTCAGCTGAGCTGTGAGACTCCTCCATCTGTCTCTGTGTCTCCCAAACTAACACAGCAGTTCATTCCCGATCGGTGGCCAATGTTCATTCAGGTCTTTCTGAACAGGGTGCGACTCTTCCTCCCGAGCAGGGATCGTAAGTCGATGGCTGGTCTGGTAGTCGATGGCTGGTCTGGTAGTCGATGGCTGGTCTGGTAGTCGATGGCTGGTCTGGTAGTCGATGGCTGGTCTGGTAGTCGATGGCTGGTCTGGTAGTCGATGGCTGGTCTGGTAGTCGATGGCTGGTCTGGTAGTCGATGGCTGGTCTGGTAGTCGATGGCTGGTCTGGTAGTCGATGGCTGGTCTGGTAGTCGATGGCTGGTCTGGTAGTCGATGGCTGGTTCGGTGTTCAACGGCAGGTCGCCTACTGTCCCTCGCTCTGCACCAGCCCGGCTGCGTGGTAGAGTTGGGTTTAGCCTATCACAGCAGCGTCGGGCATGTCCCCAGTGTCTGTAGTCGTGGGAGACACAAAACATACAATTAGAGCATGTACTGGCCAACAATTGGGGTCACAGTCACACGTTTGAAACAAGCACTTTCCTTTAGTAGTGCTATAGAGAGCGTTGTGATTTGTTTCTTTCCCACAGCAGGGGACCAGCGGAGAGGAGCAGTGAGTCGGTCGAGAGGTCACTGGTCCAGTTCCTTTTAACTCTAGTTCTGGGGCGTGTTTAGTAATTTGTTTGGGGAGGGAGTAGTTGATAGAGAATTGGCAACAGCTGTCTCAGTTTCACTTTATTCCATGCTAATCTGTGGAATCACAGGACTCCATACAAGCTGGCAAATTAGTCCAGTTCATACTTGAGAATGTAAGGAATTAAGTGAAAGTCAATTGTTGTAAACACACATTATTAAATGGCATTCATAAATAGGCATGATATCAAATAAGACATGCTGATACGTAATATAAAGAGAATGATAGGCTCTAGTTTAGTAAGAGCCAGTGTCATTTGTGATATATACATGACATTCAAATTGAGTCATGCAAAAAGGAGTCTCTGTCCTTTCCTAACAGAACCAAAACCAGACATTACAGTCCATGTTAATGGGGACTTCAACATCATCTGTTTGATTCCTGGAGCTGTGAGTCCTGACACCACCTGTAACCTGTATGTTGGAGAGGAGAGTCAGCCATCCTTCACAACAAAGATCAAGAAGAGAAAAGCAGCCTCAGCGTCCAATCAGTGGTTCTGTCAATTCAGTGTATCTGAGAGTGATCTGGTCAGTGGTCTACAGTCAGTGAGGCGTAAGGAGGTGAGCTGTGACTACAGAGTGAGCTCAGAACCAAACTCTCTCTCTCCACGCAGTGATGGGTACAGATTTACAGGTGAGTGATTAACTATACAATAATAATCTATCAGTGCTGCAGGTCTTCATGATCTGACTTCCCTTTGATCTTTTTAGTATGACTATATTCATTCTGACCCAAAAACGAAATACCACATTTCAATCCCAAAAATGTTTTTAGATCTGGTGGGAGTTCACATCAGTGATCCAACAATTATACAGACACCTTCTATAGCAGGTAGGCTACACATTTGTTATTTTATAGTGGCACTGCTGTTATTTTCAAACATAGCAGGTTTCAGCAATAAGAATAGTTGTGTAAATGTGTAAATTAAGCTGTTCTATAGATAGGACACCAGCCTCAACACTAATGCCTGGGATCATCAGCACAAGTAATATCATTTCTGTGTTCTGTGTTTTTCTAGGAATAGACTAACTTAGTTTATTCAGCTAGCTAACTTGGTAATTGTTGCACTGATGTATTGCAAATAGTTGCACAGGACATACACAGATGAGCACAGTCAAAAAGAAGACCCAAAGGCATTGACAACCATTTAGCATAATGGAAATCACTTGCAAACCACTTGAGCAAGGAGGCAATGACATACAGTAAAATATTAGCAGGCTAAACAGCATTTGTTGTTGAATTGCTACATTTAAATACTATATTATTTTTCATTAGGTCTACATGTAGCCTACATTGAAGGATTATTTGTAGTTGTCACTGACAATGAACACACCCTGAAAGCATTGAATTGTCTGAACCAGTACTTGAATTAAATAAATATAAAACTACACTTATACTTGTTTACTTGACATTTATACTCTATAAATGGACTCTTTTAAATAATTTACTCTGGCAAGTTTGCCAGCAGCGCGCTGCAGTAGGTAAGTCAAGCAGAAGTCGAATCCATCACTTCCGTTGTTTGGCTGTGCCCATATAGCAACGTTCGAAAATGAGGCACATATGTTCTGGTGGAAGGATTAAATAAAGCAAATTTACTCATTACAATAACGTCTTTAATGAAAACATGTCCTTAATCTTTTTTTTTTTTTATGTTGGCAACCATTTTATAAAAGCAAAATGACCCTTGAACCCGGCGATTGTTGTGTTATAACTTCCTCCTAAAGGCTGTTCCTGGCACAGGTTCTCATGGTTTATTGCTTAAATAGACAACAGTGAGAGTTTTTTTTGTCTTTCAAACTTATATAATATTAAGTGGTACAGTATCTATATGAGTGGATGCTGTTGAGGGGAGGACGGCTCATAATAATGGCTTGAATGGAGCGAATGGAATGGCATCAAACACATGGAAACCATGTTTGATGTATTTGATACCATTCCACTTATTCCGCTCTAATCATTACCACGAGCCCGTTCTCCCCAATTAAGATGCCACCAACCTCCTGTGATCTATATGAGTAGTTAAACATAGAAAATTAATTCATAATTAAATTAAGAGACACTGCATCATCCCTCTGATCTCACAGATCTTCCCCAGCCCAGTCTAACAGTGATTCCTGCAGTCATCAAAGAGAGAGACTCAGTCCAGCTGAATTGTCAGACTGCTCCATCTGTCTCTGAGTGTTACTTCAAAATAGAGGGGCAAGTGGAATTTACCCTACCATCACCCTGTCAACAGACACTCACAGGAACACTACTGTTGAGGTGGACAGGTCAGAGTTCACCAGCTGAGGTCAAAATACAATGTCAGTACAGTGCTACAGGTTCACAGTTTAGATCCATATACAGTGAGCCTTCTACAATCACAATTCAGGGTAAGAAGATTGTTTTTAATGGTTGTAAACAATTTACTGTTGTGCCATGATTACCATGTTCCTCTTGGGATATTTTATCATAGTGTTTGTTGTAATAAGCTATTACATGAAGTAATCAAGCAATATATGATATATCCTTAATTTCCCATAATGTCGCTACATGAGATAATTGACTCAAGATCCTTAAGTCTGAAATAACATGGAGGGATTGGGCTGTCAGTAAATTTCTCAAAACCGCTAAATGCTTAATTCCCCTATTCTCACAGACCATCCTCAGCTGACAGTGAGTTCTGCAGTCATCAGAGAGAGAGAATCAGTTCAGCTGAGTTGTGAGACTCCTCCATCTCTCCATGTGTCTCACTGTTACTTCTACATAGAGGGGGTGAAGAATCTTCCAGACTCATCGTGTACGCAGACAATAACAGGAACTGAGCTGCTCAAAAGGGCGGGTTCAACAATTCAAGCTGTGGTCAAAGTGAAATGTTACTACGCTATAGGGAAGTCTCACATATCTCCTATCAGTGACCCTGTCTCAGTCACTGTTCAGGGTAAGTAGGTGGTTTGTAAAATTATACACTTCACTGTTATACTGTATACTCATTATGCTTGTTCAGAAAATTAGATCTTATGTCATATTTCACCAATGTCTTCATTTCACACAATAGGTCTTACTGTAGGTTTTACTGTACTATGCAAACATAGATACTGATGTAGTTGAAAATGAAGAGTTCGACAGTATTTATAGATTTTACATACTGTTAGTATGTATGGATGACCTGTTTTTAAATGCAACAATCAAAGAAGCACACTCTATTCTTCTGATCTCACATACCCACCTCCTCCCAGGCTGACAGTCAGTTCTACAGTAATCAGAGAAAGAGACTCAGTTCAGCTGAGCTGTGAGACTCCTCCATCTGTCTCTTGTTCTCCCAAACTAACACAGCAGTTCATTCCCGATCGGTGGCCAACGTTCATTCGGGTCTTTCTGAGCAGGGTTCGTTTGTTCGGTTCTACCCGAGCAGGGTTCGTTCGGCTCTACCTGAGCAGGGTTCGTCTCTTCCTCCCGAGCAGGGATCGTAAGTCGATGGCTGGTCTGGTAGTCGATGGCTGGTTTGGTAGTCGATGCCTGGTCTGGTAGTCGATAGCTGGTCTGGTAGTCGATGGCTGGTCTGGTAGTCGTTGGCTGGTCTGGTAGTCGATAGCTGGTCTGGTAGTCGATGGCTGGTCTGGTAGTCGATAGCTGGTCTGGTAGTCGATGGCTGGTCTGGTAGTCGATAGCTGGTCTGGTAGTCGATGGCTGGTCTGGTAGTCGATGGCTGGTCTGGTAGTCGATGGCTGGTTTGGTATTCGATAGCTGGTCTGGTAGTCGATGCCTGGTCTGGTAGTCGATGGCTGGTCTGGTAGTCGATGGCTGGTTTGGTAGTCGATGGCTGGTCTGGTAGTCTGGTAGTCGATGGCTGGTCTGGTAGTCGATGGCTGGTTCGGTAGTCGATGGCTGGTCTGGTAGTCGATAGCTGGTGTGGCAGTCGATGGCTGGTCTGGTAGTCGATGGCTGGTCTGGTAGTCGATGGCTGGTCTGGTAGTCGATGGCTGGTCTGGTAGTCGATGGCTGGTCTGGTAGTCGATGGCTGGTTCCGTGTTCAACGGCAGGTCACCTACTGTCCTTCGCTCCGCACCAGCCCAGCTGCGTGGTAGAGTTGGGTTTAGCCTATCACAGCAGCGTCGGGCGTGTCCCCAGTGTCTGTAGTCGTGGGAGACACAAAACATACAATTAGAGCATGTACTGGCCAACAATTGGGGTCACATGTTTGAAACAAGCACTTTCCTTTAGTAGTGCTATGGAGAGCATTGTGATTTGTGTCTTTCCCACAGCAGGGGACCAGCGGAGAGGAGCAGTGAGTCGGTTCGAGAGGTCACTGGTCCAGTTCCTTTTAACTCTAGTTCTGGGGCGTGTTAAGTAATTTGTTTGGGGAGGGAGGAGTTGATAGAGAATTGACAACAGCTGTCTCAATGTCACTTTAGTCCATGCTAATCTGTGGAATCACAGGACACCATACAAGCAGGCAAAATAGTCCATGCGATTCCATTTGATTTCACACGTGAGAATGTAAGGAATTAAGTGAAAGGCAATCGTTGTAAACACACAGCACACATGATTTAAATGGCACTCATAAATAGGCATGACAAACTATTTAGACACCTTCTATAGCAGGTAGGCTACACATTTGTTATTTTATAGTGGCAGTGCCATAAAATAACAAATGTGTAGCCTACCTGCTATAGAAGGTGTCTGAATAGTTTGTCATGCCTATTTATGAGTGCCATTTAAATCATGTGTGCTGTGTGTTTACAACGATTGCCTTTCACTTAATTCCTTACATTCTCACGTGTGAAATCATAGCAGGTTTCAGCAATAAGAATAGTTGTGTAAATGTGTAAATTAAGCTGTTCTGTTAGATAATTAAGCAGTTCTATAGATAGGACACCAGCCTCAACACCAATGCCTGGGATCATCAGCACAAGTAATATCATTTCTGTGTTCATCAAGTCGAGTGTTTAGATCGTATCAATGCACTGTTATGCTTCTGCTGTTAGATAACATGGTGATCTTATTCTAGGAAGCTGACAACAACAATCAACACCTTATCTGTCCTGAAAGTCTTGATCACCTTATGAATTGGTCTTATCATCTCTATAATGAGGAGAAATATAATCTACCTGGAATAGAAGCAATCTGTCCCTAGTGATTTTTATAGTCCTACTTTGTCATAAAGATATTTAAAAAGGCCAACAACAACATAATGATCATTAATATGATCATGAATAAAATGCTAATTGTATTAATATGCCTTCTCAGTGGGTTTGACTCCAGGTCCTAGATCTACTTTGCCGGCCACCACGACAGTGAGTCCTACAGAGGGTGTGTTGGTCCTCTAAATCACCATCTCTGCAAATACCAATAGTACAGTCAAGGGTTTAGATTACGGGCCTGTAAAATTAAGTCACCAAAGTGTTAATGTAATACTGTATTCTTGTGTAATCATATTGCTTCTCACTAGTTTCAACTGTTACTTCTACTTTGACCCCAGACACCACAGTGAGACCAACTACCAGTAAGTAGGCCAACTAAGTTTAACTTACATCTATATTTTTGTTCACATTAATTCACTAAAGCTCCAACCGATTTATGAATTGACCCATTCATAGCTGCTTGTGATTTTCAGTCCGGAATTTTTTTGTTTGTTTTGTTCATCTGATTTGTAGATAATGTGTAGTGTACTTCTCTCTTTCTGCTTATTTAGTGACCTTAGATATTACATTAATTTATATTTGTTTTTGTGTAATATGAGTTATCTCATCTCACCAGGTTTGACCTCTCCTTTGACCCCCAGTACAGCAGTGAATCCTACATCAGGTGTGTTGGTCATCTTTCTCTAGTTAGTAGATAGAACCTAAACAAATAGAATAGCTTTATCTTACCAGGTTTTTTACTCACACATTTTCCCTGATAAAAAAGAAAGTTGATATTTAATTAATTAAATCAACCCATTTAGATATCTTTATTTTTGTATAGTCAGATCCAATGACTTTGCTTTGCACCAGGTTCGACTACTAGTTCTACTTTGACAACTGATACCCCAAAGTGGCCAAACGATTTTAGTTTAGTGGCGTAATAAGTTGTGTTGTGTGTTAACTGTTATTAAACAGTCTCTCTCTTGCATGTGCCCAGGAGGTCAAAGCTCCACAGAAAGCGTTCTGGGTAAGTATCCTTCTCTAGCTGACTACCTGTTTTTTCACACACAAATCTTGAGATGTAGTATTGACCCTGGGAATACAAGTTAATAACCTTTCCAATGTCACCAAACAGCTGTGCAATTATGGCAGGCAGCAGTGGGTGTGGCTTCTGGAGTGGGCGCTCAAATACTGTTTCCACTTGTACGTTATGTCAAGGGTCTGTTTATTTTTTTGTGATCAACATTTTATTTTTATTTAACCTTATACAGCACACAAGGCAGGATCATGTTACAAATATTAGCAGACATGACAACACTAACATAAAATAAACTATTTACATACTGTCAGGAGTCAATTATTTGAGTGCACAATATGACATTTACAGGAAGGAAGTAGAGTTTACAATAAAAAATATTCTATATTATTCTCAGAAAATAAACTGTCGTCCCCCCACTCCCTTACCATGTAGGTCCATGTCACGGCCGTCTTGAAAGGAAGCGGACCAAAGCGCAGCGTTTGTGGCGAACATGACTTTAATAGATGACGCACAAAATACAAAACAAAAGACGACTCATGAAGTCCACGGTTAACTAACCGAAACGGAACAAAAACCCACAACCCTCATGAGAACACAAATAGTTTAAATATGGCTCCCAATCAGAGATAACGAGCCGACAGCTGACACTCGTTACCTCCGATTGGGAGACACACGACACCACAATTAACTCACCCAACACACAACCAACCGAATACACCCTATACAACAAACCCCACAACAAAACCCAACAAAACAAATACACCCTGGCTCAAATACAAAAGTCCCGGAGCCAGAGTGTCACAGTCCACTGCTTGGTCAAGAGTTGTTGATATCTGATAGAGTTTTGCATAATACATCCCATGCATCAACTGTATTTGCCGGAGCTTTGTTTATCACGGCCGCTGATCGCTCTATACGAACAATATCTTGATAATATGATAACCATGTTTGAGGCGAGAGGATTGTAGGGGTAATCCAAACACTAAGGATAACCTTTTATTGCTGCTGTTAACCCCGCATAAAGGCTTATTTTCTGAACCAGTTGCAGTACAAAGGAAGAGTGATCATTCAACAAAAATAATGGTGGATCTTTGTTCACAGGGAAACACACTTTTTGTAAGGAAATCTGAAACATGTGACCAGAACTTGGACACCATAGGACATTCCCAAAACATGTGCATTAGTGTTTCAACAGCATTCATACAGCATCTATCACATATTGGAGTAGGAATCAGCTTCATCTTAAAACATCTAAATAGGGTTGCATAACTTCTATGCATAACCTTATAATGTATAAGCTGGTGTGCTAGGTTTTTAGAGGTAACAAATATATTTTCCCAAATGGTATCCCAGTTCAGGTCATGCCCCAATCCCTGAATTTCACAGTTCCAAACTAGAGTGATACCAATGTAGAGCATTTTACAGACAGCAATCACAAGTGTGCAGAGACCATTTTAGAAGTTAATGAAAGGTCTGTCCATGTAAGCATTATGTGGGATGTTAACGGGGCATCCCATGGTACACCATAAGCTTTTAAGGGTTTGGGTTTTAACATTAATATTCCAAACTATGACATTTTAAACATTGAATCTTTCTACTGACTGAGTGGTGTTGTTTTCTAACAGAAATAATGAATACCTTTCTTCTTGTGTAATCAGATACAGAATTCACTTGTATTACTTTCCAGCAGGTTCGACTGTTACTTCTACTTTGACCCCTGACATCACAGTGAGACCAACTAGTAAGTATCCCTTACTTTGCAATTCCATTTTTGTTCACTCTAATTCACTAAAACTCCAACAGGTTTATTCATAGACTTATTCATAGCTGCTTGTACTTTCACTCTAAATTGTTGTCCCTTTCTTAGATATGAATGGCGCTGGAGGGGATGGCTGCCGTTTTATGGGCTCCTAACCAATTGTGCTATTCTGGGTGTTTTTTCACGTTGTTTGTAACTTTTTTTGTACATAATGTTTCTTATGACCGAAAAGAGCTTCTGGACATCAGAACAGCAATTACTCACTGGAAAAATATTTTTTCTGTAATGAATTGGAGGAGAAAGATTGACATCTCCTCTCGGACCAGGCTCCATCATTCACATGAAGAGGAGACGCCGATACAGGGGCTGCAGATCCGGATGCTTGGTGAGAATTAGTCTGCAAGTGGATAATCCGCCTTTACCATCTGTCCCACTATCTTATCTTTCACCGAGTCGTGGCTGAACGAGGACATGGATAATATTCAGTTGGCTGGGTTTTCCGTGCATCGGCAAGACAGAACAATAAACTTCCAGTAAGAGGAGGGGTGGTGGTCTGTGTCTATTTGTCAATAACAGCTGGTGCGCGATCTCTAATATTAAGGAAGTCTAGAGGTTTTGCTCGTCTGAGGTAGAGGATCTCATGATAAGCTGAAGACCACACTATTTACGAAGAGAGTTTATCTATATTTTTCATAGCTGTCTATTTACCATCACAAACCGATGCAGGCAATAAGACCGCACTCAACGAGCTGTATAAGTCCATAAGCAAACAAGAGAATGCTCACCCAGAAGCAGCGCTCCTATTGGCTGGGGACATTAATGCAGGAAAACTTAAATCTGTTTTACTTCATCTCTACCAGCATGTAAAATGTGCAACCAGAGGGAAAACAATTCTAGACCACCTTTACTCCACACACAGAGACGTGTACAAAGCTCTCCCTCGACCCACCATTTGGCAAATCTGACCATAATTCTATCCTCCTGATTCCTGCTAACAAGAAAAAACTCAAGCAGGACGTGCCAGTAACTCGCTCATTACGGAAGTTGCCAAATGACGCGGATGCTAAGCTACAGGACTGTTTTGCTAGCACAGACTAGAATATGTTTAGGGATTCATCCGATGGAATTGAGGAGTATACCACCACAGTCACCGACTTCATCAATAAGTGCATCGACGACGTCGTCCCCACGGTGACCGTACATACATATCCCAACCAGAAGCCATGGATTACAGGCAACATCCGAACTGAGCTAAAAGCTAGAGCTGTCGCTTTCAAGAAGCGGGTAACTAATCCAGACGCTTATAAGAAATCCTGCTATGCCCTCCCACGAACCATCAAATAGGCAAAGCGTCAATACAGGACTAAGATTGAATCCTACTACACCGGCTCTGATGCTCATCGGATATGGCAGGGCTTGTAAACTATTACGGATTACAAAGGGAAACCCAGCCATGAGCTGCCCAGTGACGAAAGCCTACCAGATGAGCTAAATGCCTTCTATGCTTGCTTCGAGGCAAGCAACACTGAACCATGCATTAGAGCACCAGCTGTTCCGGACGACTGTGAGATCACGCTCTCCGTAGCCGATGTGAGTAAGACCTTTAAACAGGTCAACATTCACAAGACTGCAGGGCCAGACGGATTACCAGGACGTGTACTGAGAGCATGCACTGACCAACTGGCAAGTGTCTTCACTGACATTTTCATCCTCTCCCTGACCGAGTCAGTAATACCGACATATTTCAAGCAGACCACCATAGTCCCTGTGCCCAAGAATGCCAAGGTATGCAAGCGGTACCGGAGTGCCAATTCAAGGTCCAAAAGGCTCCTTAACAGCTTCTAACCCCAAGCCATAAGACTGCTAAACAGTTAATTAAATGGCTACCCGGACTATTTGCATTGATCCCCTTTTTTACACTGCTGCTACTCACTGTTTATTACCTATGCATAGTCACTTTAATGTACATATTACCTCAATAACCTCCTGTATTAGCCTCGTTATTGTTATTTTATTGTGGTACTTTCGTTTATTTTAATATATGTATCATTGTTTTAGCAAATATTTTCTTACTTATGAAAAACTGCATTGTTGGTTAAGGGCATGTAAGTAATCATTTCACGGTAAGGTTGTATTGTAACGCCTGTTGTATTCGGCGCATGTGACAAATTTACATTTTAGTCATTTAGCTGACGCTCTTATCCAGAGCGACTTACAGTTAGTGAGTGCATACATTATATTAATTTCTTTCATACTGGCCCCCCGTGGGAATTGAACCCACAACCCTGGATTCGAACCAGTATCTCTGGTGGCACAGCTAGCACTGCGATGCAGTGCCTTAGACCACAGCGCACTCGGGAGATAAATAAAAGTGTATTTTATTTTATATGAAACAAATACAAG